CATCTGAAGCAACTGCCTTTAAGAACAGCGGGGATGAACTTGCTGCTAGTGTTCGTTCTCTCAGAAATTCTCTTCTTGCTACATATTAATAATCTGCTTATGCCCGATACCTATACATAGGTATGCAGACGACAGTAAAGTTGTAGAGAGATACCAGCCGAATGCTCGGGCCAGTCTGGATTAAGTCTAGTCCGAAAGAGAAGTGGTGGTTGATCGTATGAAACTCTGACTGCAAGCAGCCTACTAATGGAGTGATGCTCATTTCGTCAGTTTCAGCACCTCCAAAACAAAAGCGTCTGTTCAACATTTAAAGGATCCAGATGAAATGTTTATTTCTCGGAACCTCAGCTTTGGACGGTTTAATAAGTCCAGGGCCTAAGCAGCCGCAAATCTTTCAAGGGTGCGGTGGTATTTCACGCTGAGGCAGTATCTTACCCTATATGCCATTACATATGGACTGATGCTGCAAAATGCCACCTAGCGTTGCTAAGTAGCTTAGTAGTAGGCTTAGGCTTGATTTAGTTGAAACCAATCTTGTCAGTCTCTAACATAGCCTCTTCCATCTGTTTTCACTATCGGACAACCAGGCGGTCTGCGAGTCTTGTTTTAACTATAATAAGCCAGTTTTTCAATACTATCTCGTTTTCATGTCTAAGTGTCGATATTAAACACATTCAAACCAAGCTGTTTGCTTGGTTTCGTAATGCGCACAGTGAGGAGGTGAAATAATTTTCAGATCTTTTTTCTTCGATAACAGTGTCTAAATAAATTTATACATAAGTGTACATTAAGTAAAATTTCCGAAGGAGAAAATAGAATATACAAGGTTATAAAGACAAAGTTGTCATTGGATCGAAGAAAAAAAGAGTAATAGATTTATTTTTCGGTCACGGCGGTCAGTCTCAACGGTGTAGTCATCTGCGCGGGACAGGATTGTAGTGCCCGATGGGATGAGAAACCCACAGAAACGGTAAAAGATCAGGCGCAAGCCAACGGCCTCACAATTTCCTGACTCCGGGCAACTACTAAAAATATATTGAGAGAAAAACTCAATAAATGATTTTTTGCCCGACCGGGACCTTATGATCACCAGTTGTGTTTCGCGACCACTAGACCAACAAGGCAGTCACCGATAGAGTCCTAAAGATTGTACATACATCTAGATAAGAAGTGATCTTGCCGGTGGTTTTTGAATCTGAATTATCGAATTATTATTGAATCGAGCCTTGACTTCAGAATCTTCAAGATACAAGACACACGAGATGTTTTGTGAACTAGAAGACCGGACCAAAAACATCTTAAACGGAGGCTCGCTTCACACATTAAAAAAATTTGAAAGTTTATATATCCACAAATGTCAAGCAATGCGAGACTAAGGCAAATACTAAAGCTTAGATAGAATAGAACGAAACGAAAAAATGTGCAATGGGCGATGTCATCGCTAAAACCGTTTTCTTCTAGACAACCTTTAGAGTTACAGGATTGCAAGACAACAATGAAAAAACGTGTGATTTGGCGAAAGCGGTATATTTTTGTCATAAAGGTTTTATAATAAAAGCTTAGGTAATTAGTTTAACAACCAAATCTCGGTGATATAACCAATTGACGCTAGTATTTTACACGGGTTCGCTTCTAAGTCCTTATCAAACTAAACACGCATAAAGTACAAGTGTCATATTTAAGTCAACAACTACTTTAGACACAAGGGTGGTAAAATGTGAGAAGAGACTTGAAGATGATGCTTCATTCTAAGCTACAAATTCGACCACATGAACGGTGTTGACAGTCTGGGGATGTATTATAGGTTGCAATACAAAGATCGTGCACAAGAATAGCGTTATTTAGTTCCTCTGTCTCTTATTTACTAGTTCTTCCATTTCTTATTTACTCATTAAACAACTCTGCTTACCAATGGAATTCAACTTTACGTAATTGACGTGCCTCTGGCAAAAATTTTTTTTTATAGGTAAGGGGGCAAATGAGCATACGGCTCACCTGATGGTAAGTGATTAATGCCGCACATGAACAACCGCAACACCAGGGGAATTGCAAATGCGTTGCTGGCCTTTTAAAAGCATTACGTAACGAAGCGTCATTTCTAAAGCACTCACCGAAGGATTCAAATTTATTTTCTACGTCAGTCTTCCCAGCCCAATAATAGTGATGTCCTCCAGACGTTATTTCGATTATGGCGGCCAATGTCAACGGAGACTAGCTATATGCGCAGAACCGGAAGACCAGAGAATCGCCGGCAGACTTTCAAACTTTAGATTGCTATCTCAACAGCAAACATTTTTGACAGAAAAAACCTAATAATTAATTTTGGCCCGACGCGGATTCGAACCCGAAAACAACATGACCAGCAGTCGCGCTTACAACCACTAAGGCCCATGCTGTCTAACGAAACCATTACACCATGTAAGTTTTTAAGACAAGTGTAAATTGGCACATTAAAATGATAAGTGGGATCTTGATTAAGGTTACACTATTGGAGAATGTTAAGGCTAACACATTCAAAACAGCTAAAACATTTAAATATATATGGTAAAAGCTTACTTACACAAAAACACAACATAGAAGGAATAAAAATTTCACCTCTAATCAGTAAATTGCCTTACAAAACTAGAGTTACCCACTACTATATAATATATTTTAATACTATATTAGGAGTCTGAATACTACAGTTAAAATATAGTAAGAGAAACTACTAATTTTTTTTTAATAATGCTAATAAAGGCAGACTATGGCGTGAGGGTGATTTTTAAAGCAGCAAACATACTCCTTTAAGAAACATAATTATTTTATAAGTTTAAAACATACAAGTTTATTTTTCTACCACGTATTATATTTCATACCAGTGCTAGCCTCAAAAATCCATCCATCCATCCATTCCATTACAATCACTGACCTCTATATATGGACTGGATATACACCGTGCCATAATGAGGCGATTTGATTGGCGCCATTTTGGCGCTGACTACAGAAGTGAACGTTCACGGAACTACTAATAACGTAACGTAATAACGTAATAGAAATAAGACAGTATGACAAAATATATTGATAAAAATTCTATACCCTACCTATACCTAATAGAATACCTAGAGGCCTACCCGTAACATCCATTCTATGTATCATATTAATATAATGTCATCATCATTACAACCCTTCACAAGTCCACGGCTGAACATAGTCGTCCCCCAAGGAATGCCACAAAGCACGATCCTGAGCCACCTGCATCCATTAACTTCCTGCATTTCTTACCAGGTTGTCACTCCATCTAGTGGGGAGATGTCCTACATTTCACCTGCCAGTACGAGGCTGCCACTCGAGAACCTTTCTTCCCCATTGGTTATCGGTTATTCGAGCTTTGGCCGGCCCATTGCCACTTCAGCTTACTAATCCGTTAGGCGATGTCGGTCACTCTGGTTCTACTGCAGATATCCTCATTCATAAGTTTATTTCACGGAGAAACAACGAACATAACCTTCTCCATAGCTCACTGAGCGACTTTGAGCTTCCTCATACTACCAGCAGTGAAGGACCACGTCTGAGGATAGTTGAGTGGTGCTTAGCCAATCGCCATACCCACACTCCTCTTCCCTTGCGACTCCATCTCGACTGCAGCGGCATATTGGGTACGACTCGGTGGTACTCGGTAGGGCTACTACATGTCTAATAAAACAGTCGTCCGTAAAATGTTTAGAACAAAGATACTCATTTTGTTTCGGACGTCAATTCACAATTTTTATGCTTTTAAGCCACAATTTTAGTCTAGGTTCAGTTGAAAACCTGTTAATTAATAAACCTTTGATAATTATGTGTTGTCGGCGACTTTGGTTATAAACAGATATGGGTAGGAAAGAACATCGATAAGGTAATAGAAAAGGGACTTGAAAACCCTACTTAATTTTATAGTTTATCGAAACTCAGTAATATAAAGCCAAACATGTTGGTAATTACGATATTAAGATTAGTAATAAATTTTTAAATACCTATATTGAGCCGTTACCGCCAAATTATCGTAAGCGACACTTTTGTCGAAAATGCTTTTTTTATCGTAAGTAGTATTTTTAACCATAACGGATCTATCCCTGTTGACATTTCCCGCCAAAATTTTACCGTTATAAAGTTGTAGCAAGTGCTAAAATTATCGTAAATACATATGTTTTTAAAGCCATAACGTAAGCGACAACAAGCATTTTTATCGTAAGCGCCTTGCGATCAATTTTTTGTAGCGCAAGTGACACTACTTGTTATCGCAACCGACAGAGGTGATAGACTATGAGGCGTTTACTATAAACAAACCTGTCGTGACCTGTTTATGTCCGTGAAAGTAATGCGACAAAAACATCGTTCTCGTTAAATTGTAGCAAAAAAAAAACAGTTTCAGCCATAATAACATTTTAAATTGTATTAACCCTTAATCAAATACTGGGAAATAATAACCCACTTGTTCCGTTCAAACATAATCCTATTTATTTTATCATTCGTAACATCAAGCAATGTCAACCATAGACAAATACAACCATGGTAGTTTTTCTCAGATCATAAATGGCAACACTTTTCTATAAATCTATAAGTGTCATCTTACGTCAATGTCAAAGTCAGCAGCGGTGTTTTTTTATGAAATATTCCGGTGTAATTCAAAGTTGAGGTGAAAATTTAGTGAAAAAAATCTGGTAAGGGGCCATCCATTAATCACGTGAGGCTTGAAGGGGGGGGGGAGGGGTTTGACTAAAATCACGAAATATCATAAAGGGGGATGGGGGGTGTAGTAAAATATCACGTGTATTTATTTTTTTGTTAAACGCGCGATTTCTAAACCGAAAAGCGGCGGGTGGTGTGACCTTGACTTGCCAGGTAACGAACGAAGTACTCACGTGCAACAGTGTAGCGACGAGAATTCGCCGGATACACCAAGTGCAAGCAGCTCTATACCGCAGCCTGTACGTGCTACTCCTGCACAGGATAAGTTGAAGAATCAGATTTCCCTTCTTCAAATGCAACTTGACTTAGCTGTTCGTCGTAGGGATTCTCTGTGCGTCAGTGAAAATGAGACGCGTGATGTAACGAAACTGCGCCGAGAAATTGATAAATGCACAAAAGAACTACAGAAGAAGAAGGCAACATGTGCGTCACTCCTAGTCACATAGATTATCAATAAAATCAAAGATTGAACTTGCTGCAATCAGAGTCCGAATGTAACTAATCTTTTTTAAGGCGCGTTCTGCCGCAGGTCGCCCACGCCTGGAAGAGCAACAACCGCAATTTCTAAAAACTATCGTCGATTTGGCTATGTTTGGTGCTTCTGCGGAGGAACGGCGTTGCTCAGAAATTTTTCGCAGTTGCCGAACACTTACTGATCTCCATGAGAAGCTAAAGGAGCACAGATTTCAAATTTCGAAGAGTGGCACGTACCTTCGGTTGCTCCCAAGAAATTATACCACCTTGGAGGGCAAAAGGCATGTAGTCACTGTGCCTGTCAAATTGAGTCGCCCTGAGGCAGATCACCATAAGGCTCACGTCGATCAACATTTTTGTGTCGCTACAATAAGATCCTTGGAAACGCTGGCATCTATTCTCGGGCCAAAACAAGTGTTTTTTCTGTCGCAAGATGATAAAGCCCGGGTACCTATAGGTTTGACAGCGGCAAATAAACAAGCTCCGCTCCTGATGCATGTCGAATATCGTGTTTCATTGCCTGATCATGATTGGATGATTGCTGCAAGGCATAAATTAATCCCTAGTGTATATGCTGGGTGCATCATAAAAGGAAATGATATGGGCCGTGCTGAAGCAATTACGTACTCAGGGCCAACATATGTGGCGATTAGAAGTGGCAAACATTCCTCTTCGACAGCTTCTACTCATGCTGTGGACTTCAATCAGCTTGCTACTCTCAACAATTTCAAGGAAATTATGCGGGATGAAGAAGGATGCCTGAAACCAGTTGTTTTGATTTCATCTGATGGAGGACCCGACGAAAACCCGAGATATCCAAAAGTTATTTCCCATGCCATACACCACTTTGTCAAGCATGATCTAGATGCAGTATTCATCTTTACGAATGCACCTGGCAGATGCGTGTTCAACCGTGTTGAGAGAAGAATGGCGCCTCTAAGCCGGGAATTATCTGGACTCATACTTCCGCATGATTCTATGGAAGTCATTTAGATGAACAAGGGAGAACAAAAGATCATGATCTTGAAAAAATGAACTTTCAGAAAGCTGGAAAAGTTCTCGCAGAAGTATGGGATAATATGGTTATCGATGGCCATGACATCATAGCAGAGTATGTCGAGCCCGATGACAGTTCTGAAAGCTTTATTCCAGACCTGCCTTCTCCGCAGTGGTATAGCGAGCATGTGCGAGAGAGCCAGTATTTGCTTCAGGTACATTAGAAAAATCTCACTTATTATTATTTTATCATTTATTCTTCTTATCTAATACAATACAATTAAAATATCTTAATATCATTACCAGGTGGTGAAGTGTGATGACCGCGCTTGCTGTGGACATATGCGGAGTTCTCTTCGATCTATTCTTTCGGAGCGCTTCGTTATACCGCCCTTACCCGATTTCGCAGTCGTCAAGTGGTCTATATATTCCGAAGCCTCAAGGGTGTGATGGCAATACGTTTGCTACATTTCTGCTGCGTCAGTCTCTTGGAATCACACCAACGCATGAGGGCTTTAAAAAATTGCCTTATGACTTGTATTGTCCTAGTCTGCAGAAGGATCGTCAGCAATCTTGGAAAGGACGTGCGAGCGGTGTGGATTGTACTTCTGTACAAAGAAGAAAGTTAAGGAACATGTAAATTCATGTCACGAGCAACTTAATCCCAGCAATAATCGTCATGAGATGCAAAATGTTTGTCCTTCACGCGTCCTCACGCGACGATCGATCGGTAAATTGAGAGAGATTCTCTGCGTTGTGCGCGAAAATGATGACACCGAGTGACTTGATGAAACCAACGTTGATCTTCAACAAAGCACAGTTCCAATAACTAACCTGCAAGATGCTTATCCAATTGTTAGTGTTGAAGATTGTCTTGCTAATCCGTGGTCCGAGGATTAATATACATTAAATATGTTCACTATATGTTTTCCGCAGACGCCACTCGTTTATTATTATTTTTATGCCAATTAAAAATAACCTACAACCTTTGTGTCTTAGACATTTTTATCATGGTCCTTAATTTCAGAATGAAATAAGATTATACATTATACTTGTATTTAAAGATAATATTCTAAAAATTTTAAGATTCCGATTCAGAAGAAGATGTAGGTACTAAAAATACACGTGATGTTGGGGGTGGGAGGGGGGGAGGGGAAAGTCTTAAACCTCACCACGTATCACCAAGGGGGGAGGGGGGGTTAAACACAAATGCAAACTATCGCATTTACTAGGTTAATTCTAGGACAAACCATAGGACAAAATTTGTTAATTTTTGTTGTATCTTATTTCCTTCAATTTTTTAATACTTATTTACAGAAATGGATAAGAAAAAAAGAAAACTACTGACAGAGAAAAGTCTAAGCGTAATAGTTGAGAACTTGAGTGACTTATCTGATTTATCCGACTACGATTCTGAGGACGATCCTTGTTATGAGAATAGCGTCCATTCTCCCTCTTCGAGCATCTTAAATCAACCAGATGATTGCCTAATAGAACGTCGTCTTGAACAAATTTTTGGCCTTGAAGATAATTTAGATGAGCATACTGTAGAAGTCGAGCCAATGCATGCAGCACATACAGATTTCTTGTCAGAAAATAAGGACCAACCTACAACGGCAACAAAAGACATAGTCAGCAATGCTAATTCAATAAATTCTCTTTCTGAGCAAGATACTTCTAATAATCCACTTCAAGTTCACGGAACAAACGCAACAGATATGCGTGTCAAAAAAATTGTACTAATTGGAAACCAGTCACAGAACAAGATATCAGAGCATATCTAGAAATTTTGATCATGATGGGTTTAAATCCTTTGCCTGACTTGAGTTATATTGGTCTACAGATCCTTTTTATTATAACAAAAAAAATGCGGGTGTTTTTCCAATAGTCAGATTTAAAAAAATTACTGAAAATTTGCACTGTAACGATAATGAAACGGAACCACTAAGAGGCTCCACAGACTACGACAAATTATACAAAGTAAGGCCACTTATTACAGAACTGAATAAGGTATATCAGAGTGAAGCATGTAATTCAGCTATACAATCAATCGACGAATGCATGGTAAAATTTAAAGGAAGAAGCTCTTTCCGACAATACATGCCCAAGAAACCCATAAAAAGGGGCTTCAAAATTTGGGCTAGATGTGACGCAAAAACAGGGTTCTTGTATCAATTTGAAGTTTACACAGGTAAAGGCTGGCACGGTTTAAACAGTACTGAAAACGAGGGACTGGGCTACAATGTCGTAATGAGACTCTGTAACAATGTGCTGTCAAATACGTTGGTTGCTTTTGATAATTTTTTTACGGGTTGTAATCTAATGGAAGACCTTTTTGACAAAAACATTTATGCAGTAGGAACAGTGAGAAGCAACAGAAAAGATCTTCCCGATGTTCTAAAAAATAAAAAGCAACCAAAAGCAATGAAATTAGCAAAACATGAATTTGTAAGTGTTACAGCAGAGCCAATAACTGCCATTAAGTGGATGGATACTAAAGAAGTAACAGTGCTTTCAACGGCACATCAACCGCGGGACGTAATGATGGTCAAAAGGACCCAAAAAGATGGCTCGAGAAAAGAAGTTCTTTGTCCAAAGGCTATTGCGTCATATACCCTTAGCATGGGCGGGGTAGATTTATTTGATCACTTTAGATCGTCATATCCCATAAGCCGAAAATCCCGTAAATATTGGATGCGACTTCTCTTCTTCATGTTCGACGCTTCAATTATAAATGCCTATATAAGTTACAACGACTCGCATGTTGCAACAATACACAGTCATCGAGATTTCAGGTTGCGTTTGGCGCGTGCATTAATAGACAATTATACCACAAGAAAGGGACACGCACAGCAAGGCATACAGTTTAAAAATAAAAAGGTGGTGTCTTTGGAGTTCCAGAAGAAATACGATTATTAAACGTAGGCATACATTTGCCAGAAGAAATTAGTACGTACAAAAGATGCAAATTTTGTAGTCTTAAAAAGAAAGAGCAAAGAACTAAAATACAATGTACCACTTGCAAAGTATCTCTGTGTGCTAAGACGTGCTTCAAAAATTATCATACTGCTGTTCCAGGTCAAGAATCAAACTCCAATAACTAAACTGAACTAAATTTATTACTTTAATGTAAGATTAAAAAGTGAGATTTTTTATACTAAAACATTACATTGTATGAGAGTGAGATTTTTGATATTAAAACACTGTGCTTGTCTTTATTTTTTATTTTATTTATTATTGTTTCTAAAATTTGTTATGGAATTTATGCAGTTTATTATTTAATCTGGGTGTAATGTAACTAGGTAGTTAAAAATGTGAAATATATATATATATTTTTTTTTTTTATATATATTTTATAAATACATAAATAAGATATATAAAAATATGTATACCGTATAGAATAATGGGAAATAATTTCCCACTTGACGATATTGTGCTATGCGGTGACGAACAAAGGGAAATTATTTCTCACCGCCTAAACCCCACTTCCCCCCACTTTTCAAAAATTTTGACAACATATTTGAAAGTTAAGTTACCCTAGAACCATGCTCAATTTTTAATTTTCGTCAAAAAAGTTTTCCATTTGATTAAGGGTTAATTATTGTTTCGTTATGGTTTCCTTATTGTGTTTTAAATAAAGTACAGATAGTTCACTACAAAACATCAAATAAAACAGCAATGTCGACTCCTGCAGCTAAGGTATGTTTTGTGTTTTAATTTTGGTAATTGAATTGGGGAAAACTTAAATACCAGTACGATTTTGTTCCATGTACTATTCTTCAGTGTACTATTCTTCCATTTAACCATTAGAATACTACATTATCCCTGGGTTCATCAGTAATAATATGGATACTTTTTATCCCGAAATTCTCATGGGAAATCTTATTAACCAAATCAAAGCGAGGGCGCACCACTGGTATAAAATAAGCAGTCGTAGTAGGTCACTGCCTACGTCTGTCCATTAATGCTTTATTTATTATTATGTGATTCTTTTTAAGTTATTATTTGTTTTTTATAGTCACGAATGAAGAAAATTATGCAGTTAATAAAAAAATTGATATGGGAAGTGGTGATCACTTCCCATATCAGAAGAGAGTAATCCTGGAACTGCTTTTCCCGAGAACATACAGCAAGATAAGGCCCCAGCTCTAGATAAATTCTTACTAACAGACAGCTACAAGCTACAACGATATTGACATGGACCCAATATTAACTGATACGACATCACCTTCGTTGATCGATTATATTTGTGATACCGATTTAAGTTCTGAGATCAATACTAACGCATTATTAACACCATTACCTCAAAGTAAACTTGAATACAGTGATTCAGATACTGAGAATACTTACACTTTAGTGGATTTAGATAAACAGAACATAAAAGACTTAACAACTTATGATCCTACTATGCCAGCTTTCATTAATCAATTAATACAGCCGAGCACCAGTTCACTGTTTGACCAACAAGAACTAAATGTGTCCAAGAATTTGGAGACCCACGACAGCATTACCTCTATTGATAGCGAAGATACATGGAAGCCTGCCTCATCGTCCAGTGATTCGGATGAAGATAAGTCAGTTCAAACAATAGAAGAAGAAACAAGTGTTGGTAAAATAGGATATATGAAAATAAAACCTTTACCAAAACGACTTTTAGCAAAAAAAAATCGTAAGGCTGCTGTAGGGAAATCTATACAACCAAAGCCTTGTACGAATAAAAAATGTGGTAACTCATATGCAAATAAATTTACGGAAGTGATCGCAATAATATTTTTGAAAACTATTGGGGATTAGGTTGTGATAAAAGACAAAAAGATTTCCTGCTGTCTTGTGCTAAAGAAAAACCGATTCGAAGAAAAAGATCCAGTAGTAATGTTCGCAAAATATCATACGATTATTTTATCAGCTACAATGGACAGAATATTAATGTATGTCAACAATTTTTGCTTAAGACCCTAAACATATCCCGAATGTCAATGAGATTCACCGAAAATGCTAATAAAGCTCTGAATACCACTGGAGATGGCAGAAGAACTAGTCGTCCTCATAATAAATCTGACGAGGTAGAAGTCGCTCAGTTAAAATCATTTATTGAGATGTTGCCTGCTGTTCCATCCCATTATTGTCGCAATAAAAGCACTAAAGTATGTTTACCTCAAGAATTTCAAAATATATCGTTTTTGTATTTACAGTATGTTAATCACGTGAAAGAAAATAATCCAGAATCATCAGTATTATCAAAAAGAGTATTTCGTAACATTTTCAAAAGGGATTTTAATATCGGATTCTTTTTGTGAGAAGTGCAAAAATTTACCACCTGAGAATAAAATTGTTTTTGAGCAAACCCCTGAATATAAAATCACATTCGAGATAAAGAAAAATGTAAACAACTGTTTTTAGAAGACCAAAAAATGAGCAAATTAACTTTCTAACTCCTTATGCGTAAGGTTTGATTTAGAAAAAGTCCTGAATACTCCACACGGTAAAAGTGTACATACTATTCCAGGAAGTATGCATACTATAATGAAAGTATATACGAAAGTGGTACAAGGGAAGGTTACTGTTACCTGTGGGGAGAATGCGACGGAAAAAGGGGCTGTAATGAAATTGTTACATTCCTTTTTAAATACTTGATTATGGTAGACCAAAGAGGTACCCATACCGAGATAAATTTATACTCCGATAGCTGTGCCGGGCAAAATAGGAATCGAGCAATGATATCCATGATAATTCATTTCTTGAAAACCGCAATTACTATTACACAAATAAAGGTAACTTATCTTTTACCGGGACACACCATGATGCCTGTTGACTCAATTCATAGCACTATTAAAAGTTTTGTGCGTAATAAAACAGTATGGGCTCCTTCTGAGTGCCAACTACGATTACTAATGCTAGAAATAAGCCTAGAAACTACAATGTAAATGTTTTAACCTATGGAGACTTCATGGATTGGGAGAATTTTTCACAAGCTTTATTACCAGCAAAATTTAAGATTAATTTTAATTCATTAAGGGTGGTGCAATTTTATAAAAATAATCCTATTGTTAAATTTCAATACGGTTTTTTCGAAGATAGTGACAATTACGAAATAAACATGGATTTCATCATCAGATCGAGAGCAAACAAAGCTATTGTGGAAAAGGGACCTACACCTTTATACGCCGAAGAGCACAAACTTTCATTAGCTAAATACAAAGATTTACAGGATCTGTGTAACAAAAATGTTGTGTTGAAATGTATGAAGCATGATGGAAACGTACGTGATGCTTTAGCTGAAACAGATGAGGATGAGAATTAATAATATTTAATTTAATTTTATCTTAACACAATATTGATCTCACTAATCAAAAAGATTGATATAATTATTTAATTAATGTTTTGTGTAAAAACCATGATAACCCTGGTGTTCAGTGAAAACGGGCTAAGATCATGCGTACGAAAAGAAATACTTTATTTCATTTTAAATAACTAGTTAAGTTTATAATTATGCTGATTGATCTCATTACTCCAATTGTTTAATAGAAATAAATTTTCATTTTCAATATTTTATAACTATTTCGTTTAAACGCCTTTTAAAATATCTATTTATTTATCAAAATATAGTTTATTGTATTAGTAATATGAATGGATATTTTTATCGTAAATGCCAAAACAATCTTAGATTATGACAGCAAAAATAAATTAAGCGACATAAATAGCTTAAACACTAAATATTTTTGTATTTTTTTCCATTATACAGGGTGTCCGGTAATGAATGGATAACCTTGAAATGTCTTATAGTACAACTTATGGCCCTCCTGAAAAAAATACGAAAAATAATATATCATAAGTAGTAGCTTTGATATATTTTTTTTAAAGAAAAGTCGATTCTTTTCTATCTTATTTTACTGTCTTGAACACTTGACCAAAAATGAATGATTTCTATTGGTTTTTTGTTATATTATTATTATACACTAACTGTGCTTATAGGTAAAATGTAAACAATATGAATAGCTTTTGCAGTTTTTATTTAAAAAATTCGCAAATCAATTTATTTCTGAAAAACATGCAAAAAATATTATTTAAGCGAAGTTCAAACCTCTTGGGTATGAAAAAAATGTATGAATGTATGGGTGACCAATAATTTTACAATAATATCGGTTTCGTGTAGATTTTATAATGGTATAATTCATAAATGTATCTTCCATAAATAGTGACTTATTGCCATTAATGTAGAAAAGGAGAAAATTTGACTAAGTAACAAAATTTTCATATGGGAACATTTTTTAAATTGAATTGTCTCTGATCATTGGGAATTAATAAAAACATATCAGGAGTTGATCATACATGAAAACAGCTATTTTTAAACAAATTGAAACCAAATTAAGTATTAGAAATTAACGTATTTAAATGTAATAAAATAACCAATTTAAATCCTGAAATGGTTACTTTACTAGCGTGAAATGGGTCGTGTGACCTTCATATTTGCTACCTGCTGCCTTTTGTGTTAGACAAAGAGAGGTCTGAATTGGGTAAGTGGGAGAGAGAAGAGCTAAATGTAAAAGAGAACTTAGTGCGTCGCACGACCTGCTCGACTTCGCATGTATTTATTTTGTCTCCTTTGCAATTATTTAAATCAGTGTTAAAACGACCACTTGGCTATTTTACCGGACTATTTGTATTTCTTATTGATTTGGACTTGTTTTGCGTTTGGTGATATTTTCGACGATTTGGCTTGTTTCTGGACTAAACTGGACTTTTGTGTACCTATCAAAATGCCACGTCATCAGTACACGGCACAAGAATATGCAAACATGCATTTTATTTATGGAGAATGCAGAGGCAACGCAAATGCAGCCGCAGCTCTTTATAGGGAGAGGTACCCTAATGCTCGCCACCCAGACTGGCGTGTATTTATAAGAGTCCACGGTTGTTACTCTGAAGGAAGAATGCCGGGTAGTGGTGTCGGTGGTGCTAGCGCTGGAAGAATCGCTCGTCCTGATGTAGAAGACGTGGTGCTTGAGGATATTGAAAACGATCCTTCAACCTCTACGCGAGCAATAGCTCGACGCACAGGTATTGGAAAATCGACCGTACACGATATTTTAAAGAAAAACGAATTCCACCCTTACCACGTTACACGCGTACAAACTCTCCAACCAAGAGATTATCTCTCAAGAGTGCGTTTTTGCCGGCAAATGCTGGCAAAGATGAAAGAAGACCCGCAATTTTTTGATAAAATTTTATGGAGCGATGAGTCAACGCTTAAAAGAGGCGGTTATTTAAATTTACACAATTTACATAGTTGGGAACTAGAAAATCTTCATGTTATGCGTGAAGACAGGTCACAATACCAATTTAAAATAAATTATTGGACCGGAATATTAAATGGTATGATAATTGGCCCATTTGAATTACCGGGGAATTTAACGGGGCTAAGTTATTTGGAGTTTCTTCAAAATGATCTCTCCAATTTATTACAAGAGATTCCCGAGGAGCTGAGGGAATCGTATTGGCTGCAAAATGACGGTTGTCCTGCGCATTATGCTGTTCCGGTTCGTGCATATTTAAATAGCAGATACCCAAATAGATGGATCGGACGTCTAGGGCCAATTTTGTGGCCTCCACGTTCACCGGATCTAAATCCATTGGATTTTTTTACTGGGGCTGTCTGAAAGAGGAAGTATACTGTAAGACCGTGCGGTCTTTGGACGAACTACGCAGTCGTGTCAGAGAAGCCGCATCAAAAATATGCGAGCGACGGTACACTAGACTGCTCAGAAGATCATTTATCCGAAGATGTAGGGCATGCATAAGAGTGTCAGGCAAACAATTTGAACATTTGTTGTAAATTAACGAAAAATAAAATATTTTAATTTTAAATGTTGTTTTTTATTAATCCCCAATGATCAGACACAATTCAATTTAATATATGTTCCCATATTACAAATTTTGTTACTTAGTCAAATTTTCTCCTTTTCTACATTAATGGCAATAAGTCACTATTTATGGAAGATACATTTATGAATTATACCATTATAAAATCTACACGAAACCGATATTATTGTAAAATTATTGGTCACCCATACATTCATACATTTTTTTCATACCCAAGAGGTTTGAACTTCGCTTAAATAATATTTTTTGCATGTTTTTCAGAAATAAATTGATTTGCGAATTTTTTTAAATAAAAACTGCAAAAGCTATTCATATTGTTTACATTTTACCTATAAGCACAGTTAGTATATAATAATAATATAACAAAAAACCAATAGAAATCATTCATTTTTGGTCATAGTGTTCAAGACAGTAAAATAAGATAGAAAAGAATCGACTTTTTCTTTAAAAAAAATATATCAAAGGTACTACTTGTGATATATTATTTTTCGTATTTTTTTCAGGACGGCCATAAGTTGTACTATAAGACATTTCAAGGTTATCCATTCATTACCGGACACCCAATATATGTAAATGTCTGAAAATCAATAATGTATGTAAAATTTCAATTAACTAGCACATTTCTATTAAAACATATTTTTTAAAAAAAACCTTCTCCTGTAAAATTTGTTTTTTGTCGGTTGCGCTAAAACGGCGGTAAAGGCTCGATATTATCAAACAGTTTTCATTTGTTTAATATTAGCTGTAAATTCACTTACTTGTGGAATGTTATATCACTTTCCTTTTCGTAACGAGTTTAACATATTACGCACACTCATTATTATTAATTATGTAACTAAAATTATACACAATCAAACCACATAAAATACTTTCGTTTTTTAGTATAAAAGTTCAAAATACAGAGATAAGATTTAAATAAGACAACAGACTTTGGCATATTGTCAAATTTAGTTTCCGGTACGGAAAATGGTGGCGCTTCAAATCGGCACAGACATTTTGTATGGTATAAGCCAGTCCATGTTACATGTATATATATAGAGGTCAGTGATTACAACCTATATAAGTGCCTCTACCTATGCCTCTACTTAATATAGAGCTCCTCCACAGATTGTCTTAAAGGTATTCTGCCATAGCTATTATTGTCTATTTGAGGAAGATGCTGCTGGCCCATCTTCAGTGTCAGTTTTCCTCTGACGCCTCTTACGACACCCACGGGACGATATGAGTAGTGGGTTGTCTTATACCACCACTACACGGGTATCGAAAATACTATATTTGATAAAAATAAAAGTTGGCAACTCTATCCAGACATATCCAGACATTTTATGAAGAAAGCTCTTGTAATCAAATGAAAATCTTTACCTATATATTTATTATAATCAAAATTAATTTTAACTTAAATCGAAAAAACCGAAATTTAAATTATATCTTACAAGAAACCACCCTCAATTTGTGGGCAAAGCAAATTGCCAAATTTTGTTTCCTGATTGTGAGCAATGAAAACAAACAAAAACAACAATTTGCATTACTAAAACTTATCTAAAAATACGCAGTTAACTAAACTTTAAAACATCTTGAACATCATGAAATTTAAAATATAGTCAAATACCCATAATTTACAACAAGTATCACAGTGGTGCATAACAATTAAAAACATCCTTTCTTAGTCCAAAGATATAACCTTATCATTTTTATGACTAAAATTAACATCATCCATGAAATCTTCATCTTCACTTTCTGAATCGTCTCGATTACAAATATTCTTCATTACATTTAACATTGTATTTTCTTCAACCACTTCCTCATCAGAAGATGCGTCAATAGAGTCTACATCATAAACAATCCACTTTCTAATTTCACCGTCTTTAGTTAACGTCAACCAGTTTTTACTTAATATTTTATACAACTTGACAAGAACAAATTGGCCTTTATTGACATGAATAGATTTTCTAACATCAACTGAGCCATATAATTCAAAGTCGAAAGCATAGTCTACGTCATTTAAAGTAGCTGTGAAACTTATTGATCTTCCTTGAATTTTTAGATTATACGTTTCTAAGCCGATCAGATTAATTTTTATAAAGGCTACGTTTTTATTTTGCCTCCAAACAAGTTTTGGCTTACGCATTTGGTTTATACCCGACAAAAATTTGATTGGACGCTTTTTTAAATTACACGTGGACTTGGAAGTTTCTGGTGAAGTACAACCGTCGGAATCCAAATCTTTTGCTACATTTTGTGATTGTTTTACTTTTGAATAAGTGATAGCTTGTCTTCCTCCAATTGTATACTTCTTGTCAGTCTGTATTTCATTTGAAGTAACTGCAGGTAAATTCGCATTCAATTTAGGTTTGCTACTACTATTTTTAACGACCGGTTTTAACATTTTCACAAACTCATCAACCATATTTATATTCCAGC